TATATTACTTTTACCACCACTCAAAGTCAACAACTTTAATTCAAAATTCAAAACTTTTTATCAAACTATTGATAAGTTTGAAAACTCAAAAAACTAACATATGTTTCTATTTAAACACAATGTATATTATTGTAATAATTTATCATAAATTATAAGTAAACAAGTAAATTCCTTTTTTCAAAAACTTTTTTATACTTCATTTATTTTTCTTATTTACTTTATAAAGAATGATACTTTATCAAGAGATTACTTGAAAGGGTGAATTCTTGTTTACAGTTCAAATTTTTTTTAAAAGTTTGAAAAAAAAAACTTTTAACCTTCTCCAAGATATAAACTCTAAAAATAGTTCAGCAACATAAGATTTCAAGCTTGTGAATACATTTTTAGTAAAAAAAATATATATTTGGAACAATAGATTTCTAACATTTCTGGACAGGTAGACTAACAGTTTTCTTTTACTAGCAAAAGGAAATTAGTTTTATACTTAAATTTTTTATTTAAATTTAAATTGAGTAAAAAATTATGGAAGTATTACAATGCACTTTCATAAAAGTCATCACAACTCTAACAATATTTCAACTCTGTGAATCAACCTAATTATTATTCTGTTTTTTTTTTTCTTTTTTACAACTGGATAATAACTTGTTATTGTTGACTTTAATGTTCATCACACTGAATGGCTTGGCTCTAATGCCACCAACCCTGCTGGCACTAAAGCCTATAACTTCTGCATTTCTTAATCTCTTACTCAAATAGATAACTTTGTGACTCGTTTTTCTGAAAACCCTAATCATTTAACCCTCCGTCTGGTCTCTAATCCTAGTTTGTGTTCGCTTTCTCTTTTTTCTCTTTTAGGTGGCTCTAATCTCTTTAAAATGTTCATCTCGTACTTCTTTTTTGGACTCACCTTATCATTGCACTACTTACTACTATCCTAAAGCTTACTAGGATTCTTTTTGTGAATTTCTTTGTGATGGTCCTTTGGCTGATGTCTTTTCCCTATCATCTGAAAAATGCCCCTCCTACATAACATCCTAAATTCAGACAAAAATAATTGTTTTTATTCCTTTTCGTCAGTTCCGAGTCAAGTCCTACTCTACTCCATGGTTTTCACCCTCTTGTGCAGCTGCTATATCTAATCGTAATCATTTTTCAGCTTTTTTAAAAGAACTTGAAAACAAACAGCTTCTCTTGAAAACAAACAGCTCTCTTGAAAACAAACAGCTATTTATTGTTGCAAAAAATCAATGTAAAAAGGTGCTGTCAGATGCTAAGTTCCATTATTCTCAGCTCACTAAATCTTGTATCTTATCTTGAAGTTAGGTTCAGGAGATTTTTAGAAAATCTTTTACAGCATTGTTAACAAGGTAGGTCTAATATTTCATCTCTCAATCATGGGACTGATCTTATTACCTCACAGCTATTTGTAAAGAACATCTCTTCTAATTTGACTCTTGAATCTTATAACCGATCTCTTCCTTCTATTCCAATTTAACAGGTTAACCCATTGTTAGACATACAAATCAATAAGGTTATATCTCAATTAAACTTTTCTATGACTTGTTGTCCAGATAACATTCCTGTCACAGTCTTACAAAACTGTTCTTCAGAACTCTCTTCAATTCTCTTTTATCTATTTAACAAATGTTTTCCTGCCTTGAAAATGCCATGTGTTGTTCCAACTTTCAAAAACTCCAGAGAATATTCTGACCCCTCCAGTTAATGTTTGATTAGTCTTCTTTCTGCTATTAGCAAGGTCTTTGAGTCCTTGATAAACAAATTTCTGGCATCCCATCTTGAGATAAATAACTTACTGTCATACAATTAATATAGTTTTCAATCCTCTCACTCTACAGCTGACTTGCTAACTCTGTGACTGAAAGATTTTATTGTGTATTAAATGGAGGCAGAGAGGATAGGGCTATTGCTCGTGACATATCTAAGACTTTTGATAAAGTTTATCATGCTGGTCTTCTCCATAAGCTTGTTTCATATGATGTAACTAGGAAAAACTTTAAGATAATCATTTCATTCTAACCACTTTATTAAAGTCATCCTCAATGGCCAACACTCTTCTTTAGTTCCAGTAACTTCTAAGGTACCTCAAAGTTCTATCCTTGGTCCTGTTTTGTTTCTTACCTACATTATTCTTGTCTTGAAAAATAATCTTTAAAGTCTACTGTCGACCATTTCCTTGTTCTATAACTCTATTCTTTTTTTCTAGTAACTCCCAACTTAATAGTGGTTGCTTGCAGCCACTTGTTGGAAGGGAATAATTAAAAAAAAAAACTTCAATAGTTCAATTCAACATAAATTTGTATTTGTAACTATGACTTTTTGATGTAACTATGATGCAACTATATATATTTGATGTAACTATGATGTAACTATATATTTTGATGTAACTATATAAACTATTTGATGTAACTATGTGATTTTTTGCATGGGCAGGCTTGATTAGCATTACAGCTAATCAACTTACAATAATAAGCTTGTTTGAAATGAAAGTTTAAATGCAAGACATGTTTTATATGCATGCTTAAATGCAAGAAATGCTTTAAATGCAAGTTTTAATAAAGAGCGTTTTAATAAATGATAAGTTTAAATAAAACTAAAATTTTTACTAAATAAAACATTAACATAAACAAGTAATACAAAAGCTAAACATAGAATAACATAAAGATAAGTAATACAAAAACAAAACATATTAATACAAAAATAACAAATGAAAAAAATATTCAATATATTAGAAAGTATATAAACCTTGAGAAGAACCTCAAATGTAAAGTAGACTGTAAATACTATATCAAAATATATCAAAATCTAAAAGAAATGATGGAATTAAGTATACAACAAAATATAAATATACTTTAATAATAGTATGCAATGGTATGTAACTATAGTAACATTTATATAATAAGAATTTGATTTAACAAACTTTTTGTAAAATGCAAAAAATGATTGAAACAGATTCAATAGTCTAGCAGTGATTTGTGTTAGTAAAGTTGTGATTTGTAAAAAAACATAAAATTTGTTAATACCAACTCACTCCTAACAAGCCTGCAAGGGACCACTATTAAGCAGGGAGACTTAAAGGGATCCCAAACTCCCGACACATGTTGTGTTCATATTAAAGATAATGTTAAAAAAAAAGAGTTAATTTTGCTTTTTTGATTAAAAATAAATAATGAATGCATACCGAGAAAAACTAATGTTGTTGTTTAAGCCAAAGCTTGCCTTCTCCATTTTTTTCAATAACTCAGAGTCTTTAAATTATACGCTGCAATCTACAGACTTTGGCAATTCCTTTGAAGCACATTTAACATAAAAGTTTTAGTATTTGACGTCATGGTAGAATTTTAACAAATGAAACTCTGGAAATATTTTTATACATTTTTATTCGAACTTTTTTTGATTATTTGTTAAGTTTTTTTTTTTCAATTGTTTACATTTAATAAGATATTAAAAACCTCAAATATTTTATGCTGGTTCGTTTCTATAAATTGTTGTTGTGCCATATATTTAATGTTTATAAATTATGAATATTTATTATCTGAATTAAGACTCTAATAAAAAATTGTTTTACATTAGTTACCCTTATAAAATTAGTAAAAGCATTTTTTTTGGTTAGATAATATTTTGTCTCAATTTGCTTAGCATGAAGTTCGGGAAGTCAAGCGAAAAAAATTAGTTTGAATAATCACTTTAAAATATATTTAAAACAAATAATTTTAATGATGGGTGTTTAAAAGTTTTTTATAGCAAATGTAGGTAAAAAATAAATAATTAAATAAAAAGTTCAACATTAAACATCATTTCTTTATTACATTGCAACTGTAATTATTGAAAATATTAACTTGAACTAAATTTACTCATTATTTAGAACGACTAAGCAATAAAAATAAAAAGCCCCTAAAATTATGCGATATGGGGTCAATGTTATAAAACTTTTTATTGGGGTAAAATGCTACCGGCTGTAAATTTTATCGACGTAAATGATTTGTTTCAATGTTATAAATCTTTTTTCGAAATTACCGTCGATAAATTTCTACAGCCGAAACGTTTACAGTCGATAAATGTTCCGGAGGAGCGACCTACCGAAATTTTTGTTGAAGATCCAGAGAGATAAATATTTAGTTGTAGAAACCTATGGTTTAGAACTTTTCAAAGTACTTACCTTGAGTTGAAAACTTAATACAAATTCTTTCATTTTAATCAAGTGCACATTTCCTGGTAAATTTTATTTTTTGAGCGATTTCTTTGTTAAAAATTTAATACTGAATTTGTCTGTAAGAAATGTAAGTCATTTTCAAAATTTAAAACTGCTCTCATTAACTACTTTTTAGAAAAACATTGCTTATAAATTTCATACTTTCATTCAACTTATCATTTATAACCCTAATTCTGACCTTCTATTTATCTAATTTTTTTCTGTTCTTTAATTTAGTATTTTTTGCTAAACTTATTTAATTTAACAAAAAAAATAATAATACACAACACTGTTGTGTTTTAATATTTTTATATATAATTTAAAAGCAATATTTTTTTAAATAATAGTGAATTTTATAAAGTATAAATAACCAGTTATTAATATTTTAATCTTTCTTAAACTGAAGTATTTTCTCTTCATCACTATAATTGTTAATATTATAATACTATATTTTTATCATTATAAATATTATGATTCTTACTGTTGTTAATATTGTCATAATTTTTTTTATATTACTGTTTTTGTTATATTACTGTTGTTGTTATTATTATTGTTGTTGTTATTTTTACTGTTATTTTTGTTATTATTATTATTAAATAGTATAGTGTATACTTTTTATAAACTTTACTATTACTTTTAATCGCTGTTATTATAACTATTATTTTTATTTACTCCTAATTTCATTATAATTATTATTAACATTACTTCAATAATAATAAAATGATGCAAATAATATTAGCATCATTTTATTAGTATTAAATTTTACAGGTATTTATTTCATATTACTACTTATTACTATTTGTAAATAACCTTGATGTGTCAACTTTATTCAGAATATATTTGACTTGATTTATTTTAATCAGTGAAAATTTGAAATTCAATGAAAAATAATAAGGCAAAAGCAATTTTATTCATTTATGTATATATATATATATATATATATAGTTATATATATATATATATATAGTTATATATATATATATATATATATATATATATATATATATATATATATATATATATATATATATATATATATATATATATATATATATATGTATATATACATACATATATATATATATTTTTATAAAGAGAGAGAGAGAGTGAGAGAGATTGAGAAAGAAAGAGAGAAATATATATATATATATATATATATATATATTTACATATATATATATATATATATATATATATATATATATATATATATATATATATATATATATATATATATATATATATATATATATATATATATATATATATGAGTGCTCAACGTTCTTAAAAAACAGAGCAATAATAAATTAATAAAATCACTTATCTAATTTTTACCTTTGAGAGCTTGTTTTTCCATCAGTAGGTTTATCAGGAAGCCTGATCAACTATTGAACCTACTGATAAACCTTCCTCATGAGCCTACTGTTGGAGAAACACGTTGTTGAAGAATAAAACTAGATGTTTTTAAGAAATTTCTCTATTTAAAATTTATGCAGAGGTTATTTGAAATTCGAAATAGTAAAATAAGTGTTCAAACTATAAACGGAATTATTAAAGTTCTAAAAATTACCTTTGATGCTCGAATATGGTATGAGCTCATGAAAATGTATACTTGATATTTAAAAATTAATTGAACCACAACAATGTTAGCTCAAATATTTTTGATAAAGTCAGATAACAAAATACATCAAAGATTTTTCTTTTTATTCAGAAACTGTTTAGACATTATGTACAAATTGTTTCCAAAGTTTCTCATATTGTCTATGGTATGGAAGCTCGTCAAAATTTATTGTGAATAAAATTTAAAGTCATTTTTTTTTAAAGTTAATTCATGCAGTTTCTCCTATTTCTTCTGTGTGTATAGATTTTCTTTGTGTATAGATTGTATAATATGTATTTCTATGTGTATAGATTGTATAATATAAAATGCGTGTAGATTTTCTATATTTATATCAACACAATTTTACAAAATAAAGAATGATTAATTACCTAATTAATTATGTAAAAAAAAAGAATAAAAACTTTTAACTCTTTAATTTTATGTATTTTATTATAAAGACCAAGGCCAAAACAATCAAGGTCAAGGCCAAAAACTTCAAGGCCGAGGGCAAAAGTTTCAAGTCCAAAACCTTGGTTTCTGGTCTTAAGGCAAGGTCAAGGCCAAGAACTAACAACTCTGGTCTAAAGAAACCTCTATATAGAAAATAGTATAAATTATTTTTATAGAAAAGCTATACAAATTTTGTTATAGGGTAGGGTAAAAAATTAATGACAATTCCATTTTTTTACTTTTAAATTGTATTCTTAACAGTTTAAATACCGTTTGAATAGTTTTACTTCTCGTGGTTGTCTCTGATTTGCCAAATATTCTAAAGCAACAAAATATTCTTCATCAGAATCAGAACAGTCTAAGTCCAAATCCATAAGAAACTGTTAATTATTGTTAACTTGTATGATGTTTTCAACTCAAAAACATTTTGTTTTTGACAACCTTTTAAGTTATTGATTTAGACACTAGATTTCCGAAAATAAATTCATAGCATAGATGTTTTCAAAATTTTACGCCGGTAAAAGTTTTATAACATTGAATGAAAAAATACTTTACGTCTCTAAATTTACAGCTGTAAAAGTTCCTGAGTGAAAACTCAGCCGGTAGAATTTTATGCCGATAAAAATTTTACAACATTGACCCATGGTGTTGTTTATTTGATAATTGTTGTTGGTAATGTTTATGTTGATTATATTCATTAATATCAAAATAGTCCCAGATTAATCTGTTAGTTGGTTTGTTCATTGTTGCTTTATTTCTAATTTAATTTTATCTCTAAGTATAAATTTATGTTAAGAAAGAAAAGTTTTTATTTCTACGCTCGCTCTTTTTATAAAAGAGAAGAACAAAAGAGAAAGAAAGGTTTCGCGTAATAAAGCTTCGAATGAATAAGAGTTGTATAGAATATATATATATTTTTTTTGCGTCACTCGTTCTTTTTTTAGATGAGAAAAATAAAAGTTTAATAGGTTACTAAAAGATGGAAGATAATATTGAGAACTTTTTATAGAAGTAAAGAAATAACAGATTGAAAGAGTTAGGGTAACTTGTGTGTGATTTCAGACAAATAGACAATTTGATAAATAAACAAGAGCACACATTTTGATAATTTTGGATAGAAAATAAAGAATATTAGAATTAGAGTGATATTTTTGAAAGTATATTATTTTAAATGTCTTGTTTTTAATTAGATATTCTTAAAAAATTATTGGTTCATAAGTTATAAGTATATATAATATATTATCTAAGAGTTTTTATTATGTTTGAGAAATAAAATTTATATTAAAAACGGATATGCTTTTTACTGTTACAACCTATTTGCCTTTAGAAAAATTAGTAATATACTGATTTAATACAGTTTTATTAATGTTACTCCCTTTTTTAAAAAAATTGGAAATAAATGAAAATTTGAAGAGAAAATTGCTTGAAAATTTGTATTTGTTGTGTTTTAAAATTTTTTTAATTTTTCATGTTAAGAGACAAATGCCAAATAGGATACAAATTAGGAAGTATCAAACATAATATGTTTTTTAACGCGCGTTATGACATTTTGACAATTTAAATTACCATTTATCTTGAACTATTGCCATTATCTAATGTGTTCATTAGAACACATTAGATAATGGCAATTATATCAACAGTAAACTTATAATCAAAATTTATAATGCCGACTGGTGTTGCTATTAATTGTACTTTTAATGCAAAACCAGGATCTCACATATCCTTTCACGAATTTTCATATCTGATACTACTGTCAACTGTATTGTTTAGTGTATTCTTGTACTTTTTTTTCGTAACCTTAACAGGTTCTAATTGGTATGGAGTTGCCGACATTTTAAATTTTCATTACCAAAAATCAAATGTAAAATAAAACGATATTTCCTTTTTATTTGTGTCCAATTCAGCAAATTTAGCAATTTAAAATAAATTAGCATAATCAAAATAAAATTTTATAATAAAAAAAGTTAACATTTCATCAAATATCTCTAATTAATGTCAGTTTATGAATTTAATTGTTAATAAATACTTTTTTTCGACGGGAAAACAAAAAATATCATCCCGTGAAAATAACCAGAGAAGTTAGAAAAAAGTTCCCATTGTTTAAATAAAAATAAGTAAGATTCAGAATATATAATACTGCGCTCTCTTGCACAAAAATCGAGAGACCGTATAAATAACGTTCTATATAATGTAAAACACTCATATGAAAATCATAAGATTCGTAAGTAAAGCTTTAATATTTGTTTTAATTTAAAAATTGAAGAATTATAAGAAAGATGTATAAATCTTGTTAAAAATCTACCGTGACGTCAAATGCTAAAACTTTTATGAATTAAACGCGCTTCAAAGAAATCGCCAAAGTCTGTAGATTGCAACATATAATTTAAAGACTACAAGATATTGAAAAAAATGGAGAAGGCGAGCTTCGGCTAAAACAACAACATTAGTTTTTCTCGGTATGCATTCATTATTTATTTTTAATCAAAAAAACTTGGTTCAAACTTTGTTTTTAACATTATCTTTAATATGAACACAACATGTGTTGGGAGTTTGGGATTCCTTTAAAAGTTTAAGTTATTAACTTTTTTTTTTTAAATCTTCACTTTCAACAAGGCTGCAAGCAACCTCTATTAGAGTTAGAAGTTATTTAAAGAGAAAAGATGAAGTTTATAAATCAAGATAATGATTAACAGAAAACTTAAAAGATTGTAAACTTTAAGAATTAGGAAAACAAGATAAAGGGAGCAAAATCCAAAGAGCTGATGTACAAGGAAAAAAACTAGACAAACAAGAATTTTCTGAGCACTTAGGAACAGTAACAATTAAAGGATGAGCCTAAATTGAATGACGAGTAACACAAGAATGAATTTTAGCTAGCTATTTAGAGCAGCGACTATTACAGTATTTATAGAAAAGAAAAAGAAAAGCAACATTATAACAATCTTACAATTGTTGAAGGTTGGCTCCAAGAGCAGGTCCAACTATGTTTACAACACTTTTTGCACCTTGTCTTAAAGAGAATGAGCATCATTTAAGATCCCCTATATAGCAACAAGTAACAGAGCAACAGTATTCAATACAAGGACAGATTTGAGATTTATAGAGACAAAAAATAGAATCTCGAGTAAGGTGACAAGCTCTATAAAGAGATGCAACCATAGCAGATGCTAATTTTGCAATAAATTTGATATATGGTTTCAAAGAGAAATCAGAAGTTAATCCTAGAAAATGAAGGGTAAATGACTCATCAAGTACATTATCATTCATAAATATAGAAAGATCTAGATTGTTACGATAATGCTTAGCTGATAAAATATGAGTTTTATCTGAGTTAAAGTTCACCAGCCACTGAAAGCCCCATGCTGTAGCAGAAGTGCAACCCTTTTCAAGCTCTAATATCCCCTCCAAGCAATCAAAGAGAGTTGGTTTCTTATTAAGACAAGAATAAATGGTAGTATCGTCAGCAAACAATACTACCTTAGATGTGAGAACTTTTAGAAGATTGTTTATATAAATTAAAAAAATTATAGGGCCAAGGATAGAACCTTGAGAAACCTCTAAATTTACAGGAAAATAAAGAAGAGTGCTGTCCATTAAGGACACCTTTTATACTACAATTAGTAAAAAAGAATTCAATAGTCTTAAAAATGTCACCTGATACACTGTAAAAAGAGTTTATGGAGATGACCAGCATGCCAAACTTTATAAAAGATATTGTAAGAAATGTTTTTAGAGAGACTGACATGATTAGCAAAGATAAAGTTTGAGCAAACGCATCATAGTATTAAATAAATGCTTAAATAAAAAGATGAAGATACTGAATGCTTGAACGAATGAACTAATTTAGTAAAATATGTATTTTGCGAATGCTTAAATACACACTTTTTTTTACATTTAGTATAATTATATTTTTACATAAAACACATATTTTAAAATTAAGAAATAGCATATGAAACCTGTTCAATAACATAGTTATGGCAACTTTTTATTGGGTCAAATTATTATTTTGTTTAATTAATTACTTCATTTATTTTTGCTTCTGGATTAGTTGCATCCTCAAGAGACAGCATACCACTGCTTACAATTATAAAAAGCAGTGTCAGATTGTTGAAGGATTGAGCGTTGACAATTTTATGAACAATCTTTTGTAATCTTAAACAAAAAAAATCTTTCTTTATCATTGAAACATTTAAATGAAATAGATTTCAAAATTGTTATATTAAAAAAGTCATACGGATTATTTGGAAAACATATAAATAGCGTGTTGGTTTCCACCGATTTTTCTAAATTTTGATGAAGAATTTCGTTGCCATTAATAACATTTTTTTGATGTTCATCTTTTATAAAATCTTTATTTAAAATTTAAGAAAAAATCAATATTATTACTTATGTATGTATGTATGTATGTATGTATGTATGTATGTATGTATGTATGTATGTATGTATGTATGTATGTATGTATGTATGTATGTATAAACTTATTTTAAAATAAGAATTAAAATAACTTTAAAAAACTAACCATAGCTTGGATTGTCAGGTGTTTCAGTATTATGAAGCTAAAGAAAAAGAATTTAATAGAATTATCAACTTAAAATAAAATGATAAAAAAATATACATTCCCAACCTAAATGATTTCTATATATTATTTTTTTATTTTTAAATTTAAAATCTAACCAATCAAATTTTAAAATCGTAACTGCTCTTGAATTTTAAACTTTTGAAGCTTATTAGTTTATCTTTTGTTTTAAATAAAATTTTTATCAAAACAAATAAACAAAATCAAAATAGTATTACCTAATATAAATCTTTTTAACCCTTTAAATCCCGAAAAAGTAAAATTAAAATTTTTATAAACTTACTTTTGATAAAATTGATTTAAAAAAAATGTGAAAAAAAAGTTTTTTGGACAACAACTAAGGGGAGAATGTAAATGAAAGAGCAAGTTTAAAAAAGGTATAAAAAAAGTCAATTTTAATTTATTTTAAAAAAAAAAATATTTTTTCAATAGTTATGTTATTGGGTAACATAAAATTAAAATAAATTGGATAACAATGCTAGTAATCTGTCATACACCTATTTTAAAAAAGAGAGAAATCAGCTCTTTAATAAAATCTTGTCAATGAAAAAACTCTGTGCTATGAATGACCCGTAATGTTTTTTCTAAAGAAAAAAACGTTACGGCTCATTCATAGCACAGATTGCTATCAATGAGTTTTTCTTTTAAGAATAATAATCTGTTAACTAGACTTCTAAAAATCAGATTGTACTTTAAGTTATATAATTTTATGATAATCAATCATAAAACAAATGATAAAGCATCTTTAATAATAGTTTCACTATATTATTAAAAAAATATCCTTATATAACGTCTATGTCGCTTTTCGTAATTGATACTTGTGAAGACATGTTGTTTTTTTTAAGATAAAAAAATATTAAATGAGAATGAAAAAAACAAAAGTATTAATATTCACTAGTCAAACGTTTATATAAAAAAATTTATATACACTCAAAAGAACAAATTATTTTGACTACATCTTGACGAAATGTTATCTATGAATCATAGTGAATATAAGGTATTTCACATATATTAACTATGCTAGTGATATATGAGTGAATACAATAATACAAAAGAAGTTTTGACAAAATGTGTAGAAGTTTGAAACAAAAATAAATTTTAGTTATTAAAAAAAAAATTATTTAAGCTTTAGTAAAAACTTTATTATTATTTGAATATTTTTATTAAGATTCAAACGCATCTACATTTTTAGACTTCAGTAAAAGTCATTCAAGCAATTAATTTTAATAGGATATGATCAATGAAGAATTACGATAAACAATGAAGTTGTTAATGGGCATAACAGTTATTTAACTTTAAAAAAAGCTAAATAGAAAAGGCCGGCTTTTTCATAGCATAAAAAAGTGGCTCATTCAAAAAATTGTATGGTAAAAAAAATAACCTGAAATTAAACACTTTTTACCGAATCTTTAATATAATATTATTTGTGGAAAAGAAGAACACATATATAACAATGCAACATATATGTCTTATCAAATAAAAAAATTCATTATTTTAAAAATAAATAAGTAAACCCCAAAAAAATTACTTTTTATTTTCAAAATTTTTTTTGCACCCTTACGACGCTATTTATTTTAGTAGAACTCTAAATTTTTTGTGGGTGACAAATATCCAGCATTGCCACACAAAAAGTAAAATACAATTATGGTTGGGTGCCAGTAAGTTAGATATAATGGCATCAGCTCTTTCTAAACCTGGCTCTTTCATACACACTCTTCCCTACTTGGATTTTTTCCATGACTCCATTTGGATAATTTTATAAAATTAACTCAAATGCAAATATTATTTATTAAACAACTAATGCTTCTTTTTCAAATAAGTATTTTAAATATCTTCAATAAATATTTTAAAACTAAATATCTTAAATAATATAAATATTTAATATCTTTTATACATCTTCTTTTGTTTAGAAATAACTAACAAAATCATTACCCAATTTTTTTGTATGCATGCACTACTTAGTATGAAAGATTATGAAACAGTTTTTATTCTTAGTTACACATAAATGGTAACTGTACTTTATGTATTTCAGTCTCACGTATGTGTTGCACACTAAACATCACTGTTTTTTCTCTGGATGTGCTGGAAATTGGTTAATGTTTTCATACCGCCCTGAAAAGTTGAAAAAAGTTAGTTTTCTTTTTTTCTTAGTGTTAGCCAGCTGTTCTTTACTCTGATATTTGTCTTTAACTTCTTCATCAGTTCGGGCTTGTTGAGAAAATCTTATAGGGAAACTTAGACCCTTTCGAGCATGGAGTGGTGGTAGCTGTTCTTCGATTATGAGACTTTCACTGAAACTGGGAGTGAACTATAGAAAATTAAGCTGCTTCTTACATGGAGTTTTATTCTGGGTTGTGTGATAATGATACAAGATCCATCCATTTACAATGGCTTGTTAGGACCCAGAAAAAAATGTGATGATACCGCTTACAACTTTTCTCATCCAACTTGTAAAGTGACATCAACATTTAAAAAAGATCAATCCCATCCAAATGTTTATCTCACACAATATTAGGAAAATTCTATTTCAACATACTTCCTTTGCTTTTATATAGAAGCATTTGCTCATCAACACTCATCTCTTTTTTTGGCTAAGTTTGTAGGCAAACAAACTACTGCATCCCGATCAGTGATAAGCAACTAATTGTCATTGAAATGAATGAGTTTCTGGAGCTCAGCAAATTCATTTCTACTCATCATATTTGCCACTTAAGAAAGCCTTATTTCTTTTTCCCAATATATTTGCTATCTAGGCATATGCCCATCTTTACCAAAATACCAAGACATTTTTCAATATCATACCAATCGGCTCTGAAGCTGGAACCACTTTGCACAGCATAATTGATCAATAATGTGCTGTATTAGTTCATAGTTGAAATAATTATAGAAGTATTTAATAGGTTTCAGTGTTTCAGCTGGTGGATCTCTAAATGAAGATTGCCAGTTCATATCTAGTTGCGGTGATTGCTTAGCCCTTCGCCAACTAAATAAACATTCTATTTTCCGAATTTTTTTCAACTAATTTCTGTGCAGTTTTGGTTTTTATGCAATAGTTTGAAAGTGTTATGTCATCTTTGAATAAAGAACTGTCATTTTCTACTTCTAAGGATGATGAACTGTTTTCATTCAATAATTTTATTTTTGAATAGCAGGTCAGGGAAATGTCTGTATTGGACAATGAATCATTGTTTGAATTTGATCTGTCTGCATCTGGTAGCAGAACCCCATAATTTACCAATACTTTAGGTTTAGTTCACTGACATTAAACATTACAATCCATGATTGTCTTTCTACAATATACCTTTTATACCTAATAATAATATTGATAATAATTTTAACCAATTGGACCCATAGACTTCATTTGGAATCAATGACAATCAAAATTTTTCTAACTTATTTCAAATTAAACTATTTCCAAATGACTCCAAATGATCTGGAACTTGGATTTAGTCATGAAAATTGTTTTCTTGTTTCTAGAAAATTTGACATTAAAATTTATTTTTCAAAATTTTTCAAAAATTTCCTAGCAGACAACTAGTTTATAAACAATTATCTAGAAACACCATTTAGTGAATTAAAAACATAAAATTACCAAATATCAGATAATATATCTTAAAAAAATATCCAACATTCAAAATTATATTATTGCACACTAACTCTGACCAAAAAAAATAGCATAGGTATTAACTCCAAATTGAGTCAATGGGCCTGAAAATTCACATTGTTTTTTTTTTTATTGTTAGCATTATTATTTTCATTACCTCCGCTATTTTAATTTGCTTTTATAATTTTAAATTGTTTGTAATTGCTTTAAGTTAGTTACAAGTTATAAAAACACTGTAAACTAAACAATCTTATTTTGATATCTGATAAATGCAATTATCAATGTATTTTAACTCGAAGTTGTGCCATCTACCAAAATTCATTCTCGTGTTACTCATCATTCAATTAAATCTCATCCTTTTACTTGGACTATTCCCAAGTGCTCCAAAAATTCTTATTTGTCAATTTTTTTTGCTTAAACATCAGCTCGCTCCTTTTTTTTGGTTGTTTTCCTGATTTATATAATTTACTTTCAAGTCTTTTTAATCATTATTTTGCTTTATAAACTACATCTTTTCTTTTTCTTTGACTAAAATCACTAAAAACATAACCTGGCTAAAACCATAGTGTATGTACTCATACAATCCAGTAATGAATGCTAATAGGTTATATGTTAAATGTAAATATACCTGCAGCAGACAAAAACAAAAAACTTGTTTTAACTATCTCAAATGAATTTGTAATAATACCCTTTAAAAAAATATTTTTAAATTTTAAATAGGAAGGTGACAGGTGGTGACACAAGTGTAGTGTAATGGTACTCTTTTTATAAGAAGTTAAGTTTAGTAGTTGTACAAAGATTTGAGCTCAGTATTTTTATAGAGGTACATAGCTCAAACCCATCACATCTCAGAAAGTACAACACTGAATTTGTTTCTAGGTGCAGTGGCTTTGTTTCAATTTTTTGTTTAAGTTTATAATTATCTTTAAAAGTTAATTATAGTTACCTTTAATTTAATCATTCATCAATTTCATTGTGTTTCATTAATGCTAATTTCATTGTATTTTATTCATTAATAAACTGTTGTATCAAAATGATAAACATTACACTCTTTTAAATTGTTGTATCGAAATGATAAACATTACACTCTTTTAAATTGTTGTATCGAAATGATAAACACTCTTTTAAAAGAGTTATACTAGAATGTTTAAAAATGATAAATGTTTTGAAGATACCCTGAAAACTTTTAAAATGTTTTGAAGATACCCTGGAAACTAATTTTTAAAATATATAAATTATATAAAAAATAGAATTAAAAAAAAATTACTTACAGTAGCAATAGCACTTTTTTTAGCAGTAACACCTTTTCTATATATAAAAGTATAAATAAAATTAAAAATATTTTGTCTACTTATGAAATTTAAAATAAATAAATCCTATATATAAACTGAAGAACGTTTTGCCTATTTTTTATCTATATATATGAAATAAAAAACACTATGTATAAAAGTAAAACATAAACAATAACTAATATATTAAAATTAAACATATAAAACAAAATTTACACATAAAACAAAATTAATAATTAAAAAAAAAATGATCTTTTAATAAATTCAAAAAAATAACAATAATAAAAATAAAAAATTAAATTCATTTATTTTTGTTATTTTCACCTTTTTTTTAAATCATTTTACAACCTTATTTTTGTATACATAACATTAAATTAACTATTAAAAAAAACTTTTCTACTTGACTATCCAAAGTTTTATAAGAAATCAAAAAATAAGAATACTCTTCTTTTTCTTTTTCCTTTTAATGAGTTTAACTAGTTGTATGCTTTTAATGAGTTTAACTAGTTGTATGTTTTTAATGAGTTTAACTAGTTGTATGTTTTTAATGAGTTTAACTAGTTGTATGTTTTTAATGAGTTTATCTAGCTGTATGTTTTTAATGAGTTTAACTAATTGTATGTTTTTAATGAGTTTAACTAATTGTATGTTTTTAATGAGTTTAACTAGTTGTATGTTTTTAATGAGTTTAACTAGTTGTATGTTTTTAATGAGTTTAACTAGTTGTATGTTTTTAATGAGTTTATCTAGCTGTATGTTTTTAATGAGTTTAACTAATTGTATGTTTTTAATGAGTTTAACTAATTGTATGTTTTTAATGAGTTTAACTAGTTGTATGTTTTTAATGAGTTTAACTAGTTGTATGTTTTTAATGAGTTTAACTAGTTGTATGTTTTTAATGAGTTTAACTAATTGTATGCTTTTAATGAGTTTAACTAATTGTGTGTTTTTAATGAGTTTAACTAGTTGTATGTTTTTAATGAGTTTAACTAGATGTATGTTTTTAATGAGTTTAACTAGTTGTATGTTTTTAATGAGTTTAACTAGTTGTATGTTTTTAATGAGTTTAACTAGTTGTATGTTTTTAATGAGTTTAACTAATTGTGTGTTTTTAATGAGTTTAACTAATTGTATGTTTTTAATGAGTTTTTTCTAGTTGTATGTTTTTAATGAGTTTAACTAGTTGTATGTTTTTAATGAGTTTTAACTAGTTGTATGTTTTTAATGAGTTTAACTAATTGTATGCTTTTAATGAGTTTAACTAGTTGTATGTTTTTAATGATTTTAACTAGTTGTATGTTTTTAATGAGTTTAACTAGTTGTATGTTTTTAATGAGTTTAACTAATTGTATGTTTTTAATGAGTTTAACTAATTGTATGTTTTTAATGAGTTTTAACTAGTTGTATGTTTTTAATGAGTTTAACTAGTTGTATGTTTTTAATGAGTTTAACTAGTTGTATGTTTTTAATGATTTTAACTAGTTGTATGTTTTTAATGAGTTTAACTAGTTGTATGTTTTTAATGAGTTTAACTAATTGTATGTTTTTAATGAGTTTAACTAGTTGTATGTTTTTAATGATTTTAACTAGTTGTATGTTTTTAATGATTTTAACTAGTTGTATGTTTTTAATGAGTTTAACTAGATGTATGTTTTTAATGAGTTTTAACTAGTTGTATGTTTTTAATGAGTTTAACTAGATGTATGTTTTTAATGAGTTTAACTAGCTGTATGTTTTTAATGAGTTTAACTAGTTGTATGTTTTTAATGAGTTTAACTAGTTTTATGTTTTTAATGATTTTAACTAGTTGTATGTTTTTAATGAGTTTAACTAGTTGTATATTTTTAATGAGTTTAACTAATTGTATGCTTTTAATGAGTTTAACTAATTGTATGTTTTTAATGAGTTTAACTAGATGTATGTTTTTAATGAGTTTAACTAATTGTATGTTTTTAATGAGTTTAACTAGTTGTATGTTTTTAATGATTTTAACTAGTTGAATGTTTTTAATGAGTTTAACTAGTTGTATGTTTTTAATGAGTTTAACTAGTTGTATGTTTTTAATGAGTTTAACTAGCTGTATGTTTTTAATGAGTTTAACTAGTTGTATGTTTTTAATGAGTTTAACTAGTTGTATGTTTTTAATGAGTTTAACTAGTTGTATGTTTTTAATGAGTTTAACTAGTTGTATATTTTTAATGAGTTTAACTAATTGTATGCTTTTAATGAGTTTAACTAATTGTATGTTTTTAATGAGTTTAACTAGATGTATGTTTTTAATGAGTTTAACTAATTGTATGTTTTTAATGAGTTTAACTAGTTGTATATTTTTAATGAGTTTAACTAATTGTATGCTTTTAATGAGTTTAACTAATTGTATGTTTTTAATGATTTTAACTAGTTGTATGTTTTTAATGAGTTTAACTAGTTGTATGTTTTTAATGAGTTTAACTAATTGTATGTTTTTAATGAGTTTAACTAGTTGTATGTTTTTAATGATTTTAACTAGTTGTATGTTTTTAATGATTTTAACTAGTTGTATGTTTTTAATGAGTTTAACTAGATGTATGTTTTTAATGAGTTTTAACTAGTTGTATGTTTTTAATGAGTTTAACTAGATGTATGTTTTTAATGAGTTTAACTAGCTGTATGTTTTTAATGAGTTTAACTAGTTGTATGTTTTTAATGAGTTTAACTAGTTGTATGTTTTTAATGAGTTTAACTAATTGTATGTTTTTAATGAGTTTAACTAATTGTATGTTTTTAATGAGTTTTAACTAGTTGTATGTTTTTAATGAGTTTAACTAGTTGTATGTTTTTAATGAGTTTTAACTAGTTGTATGTTTTTAATGAGTTTAACTAGTTGTATGTTTTTAATGATTTTAACTAGTTGTATGTTTTTAATGAGTTTAACTAGATGTATGTTTTTAATGATTTTAACTAGTTGTATGTTTTTAATGAGTTTAACTAGTTGTATGTTTTTAATGAGATTAACTAGCTGTATGTTTTTAATGAGTTTAACTAGTTGTATGTTTTTAATGAGTTTAACTAGTTTT